AGACATGCATAATATATAGTGTTTTTAATTCTAGGTTACAATTAAATGACATGCAACATTAAAAAGGAAATCAGCTGCTGAAGTCTTTAGAAAAATATGCTTTAAAGAAGTTGCCAAGGGCTGGGAAGGTGGCTCAATGGTAGAGCGCTTGCCTTGCATGAATGAGGCCCTGGGTTCGATTCCTCAGCACCACAAAAGCAAAAAGAAAAAAAAGCCGGAAGTGGTGCTGTGGCTAAAGTGGTAGGGCACTAGCCTTGAGCTGAATCGCTGAGGGACAATGCCCAGGCCCAGAGTTCAAGCCCCAGGACGGACAAAAAAAAAAAAAAAGTTGCCAAACCAGGTGCTGGTGGGTCACGCCTGTAGTCCTAGCTACTCAGAGGCTGAGATCTGAAGATTGCGGTTCAAGGCCAGCCCAGGCAGTAAATCCCACGAGACTCTTATCTCCTCCACTTAACCACCAGAGAACTTAAGTGGTGCCAGAATGGCTCAAGTGGTAGAGCACTTACTTGCCTTGAGCCAAGAGCTCAGGGACAGCGCCCAGGCCCAGAGTTCAAGCCCCACAACTGACAAAAAAAAAAAAAAAAAGTCTGGTAACATTTTAATATTCAAGCAAGAAAAACTGTGACACAAGAATATGGATAAAATGAATGGAAATAAAGTGTTATTATGCAAATAAAAATGGAGTAGTTAGAATGAAAGGCAAAAGTTTTGAAATTGAGGAGAAAAGAAAGCAAGAGATGAGAGCTCCAGATAATCTAAGCAATCTAATTCAAAGCTATGAGTCAGAACTTTCTGAAATACAGAGCGCCTACAATTCTGTGGCAGAAGGGGTATTGTGATCTCATTCTATAAAGAGCTGAAAGGCCTTACAGAGGATGTGCTAGAAGTGAAAGAAGAATAATGATAGCAAGTCTGCTGAACTGCAGACCACCATATGGTCTCTGTCCCTCTACTAAAATCTTTATTCTAGCCATTCTAAATGATAGCAATGTGAAAAGCTTATAGGCAACACTTCAATATTTATTTGGATTCTGACAAAGTGTCATATGCATGCATGTTCCCTGTTAGGTTGCCTTCTGGAAAACATACACTATCCTTTTCATTCTATTTTAACCCTATCATCAAGAACAAAGCCATGAATGTAGTGATTAGACTTTCAAGTTCATTATCTGATAGATTTCAATTTTCAATCAGAACATTAGGGTTTGAAGGCATCTCAGGGATCATTTGGTCTAACATCTTAATCTTACAAGCAAAGAAACTAAGAGCAGTTAAACACTTACTAGCTTAAGGTTACAGAGCCAGAACTAGCACCCTAATCCTCTGACAATAAATTCATCTTTTTCCAAGTAGACTTTAAGTTCTCCATTATGATAAAAAGGATTAAATAAGTACCTATTTCATCAGGAACCAAAGCAAAAGGAAGTTCACTTTTCATATTCACTATATACCACAGACTTTAAAAGATCTGATTTACATGACAGCCTAGATCTGTGATGGCTGCTTTATAAGATATCTTTCTTAATGCAATAATTTCACAAGGTAAGCAGGAAAATGCAATCTGATACCAAGATTCTCCAATTCCCACCTGAAAAACTGGGTTCTTATTCAGTATTCTGTATTGCCTCTTTTTGACTGTACTATAAAGATTCTTAACTCCAACACAGAGTCCCACACAATACCTGACTCAAACCTTATAAACAAATGTTTACATGACTCACTAAATGGATTATTTATTTCATTAAAAAGTAAAGTACTTTTATTCTACATGCCTCTAAAAAAAGCCTACACTGTTCATCTAATTGTATAATCCCTTACAAAAAAAATGTTAATAGTAGCCAGCAGTCAGCAAAAGATTAATAATTTCCCTAAAAAAAAGGAGAAGTATCTCACTATGTAGTCAGACTTGCCTTAAACTTGGGATCTTCCTGCCTCAACTCCCAAGTGCTAGATTTACCGGTATAATGCATAGATGGCATCACCATACCTGGCAATGCCTAATTTCTTCATCCTCCATACAAGTCATCTGTTCAACAATTACTTGATGAAAAACTAGATGTATGACTGTCTTAAAGATTAAAGGCAAACAAAATATTCCTGTAAGATTCTACTCCACACAATAAAAACTCAAATTTCAAAATCACTCACCAGGGCTGGGAAGGTGGCTCAGTGGTAGAGCACTTGCCTTGCATGCATGAGGCCCTGAGTTTGATTCCTCAGCACCACATAAGCAAAAAGAAAAAAGCCGGAAATGGCGCTGTGGCTCAAGTGGTAGAGGGCTAGCCTTGAGCTGAAGAGCTGAGGGACAGCGCCCAGGCCCAGAGGTCAGGCCCTTCGACCAGACCCCCCCCAAAAAAAAGTCAAAATCACTCACCAAAATGAAAGTGTGCAACATTTATCTCTTTCTTCCAGCAAAGAAACAACATTAACTGAGCATCTACAATGTGTCCAGTCATGAACCTTGACATGGTTTCACAACATAGACAAGTAAATTAAGCAACACTGTATTTCCTAATACACAAGTGAGGCACAAAGAAATTAAGTTCTTAATAATAGCTTAATTAGTTATTAAAGATTTAAAATAAGAATCTAAATCTGCTGGATAGGTCTCAAGACCCACTATTATCACCCCACTATTATAAATATGAAACAAAAACTCAGAGAGGCAGCATGCCCATGAACACGAGGGCAGGAAGCAGCAAAACAATGCCAGATTTATACCAAGTGCAAGAAACTAACCATTAGAAAAATGCAGAGTCTGGAGGCATGGCTAAAGCACCTGCTTAGCAAGCTCCAAGTCCTAAGTTAAAAACCAGTACTACTACAAACAACAACAACAACACAAGTCTACATGGTTCTGGAGCTTAAGACTCAAAGCATTTAAACTAATTAGACCATGTGCTTTGTGGGGCTGAAAAAGAATGGTATGTACAACAGTAAAACCAACTCCTATGTTCAATGAGGATGAAGTTGTTTTCTAGTAAGAGCTTTTAAATGGCAACCTGAAGTCTGGTCTCTAAACTTTGAGCTAACCGGCCACTCTATTATACCAATGAATCTCTGGATTTATTATAGTTAAAATTATTCTAAAAGTAGAAAAATAGCATACTAGAGAGCAAAGGTTTATGAAACACAGTACAGGAATAAATAACAGAAATATTTCTTAGCTGGATGCTGATGGCTTAGGCCTGTAATCCTAGCTACTCAAAAGGCTGAGATCTAAGCATCAAGGTTAGAAGGCCAGGTAGACAAATCTGAAAGACTCATCTCCAACTAACCAGCAAAGGAAGCCAGAAGTGAGCCAGGCACTGGTAGCTCAGGACTGTAATCCTAGATAATCAGGAGCCTGAGATAGGAGGATTGTGATTTGAAGCTAGTGTGGGCAGGAATGTCTGTGAGACTGTTTTCTCCAATTAACCACACACAAAAAAGCTGGAAGTGGCAAGCCACGCATGTTTTCTCTCTCAAGTCGAAAGCGGATCTAAAATAAAAAACTCCCAGAGCCCGAGGCTCACATCTGTAATCCTAGCTACTCAGAAAGCTGACATCTGAGGATCACGGTTGAAAGCCAGCCTGGGCCAGAAAAGTCCACGTTACTCTTATCTCCAATAAGCCACCAGAAAACCGGAAGTGGCACTGTGGCTCAAGTGATAGAGGGCTAGCCTTGAGCTGAAGAGCTGTGGGACAGTGCCCAGGCCCAGAGTTCAAGCCCCACAACGGATCAAAAAAAAGCAAACTACCAAGTAAGCAGGTAGACTTCCAGGGTTGTTCATCCAGAATGAATCTGTCTTCATCCCTTAACTTCGAAAGCTACGTGAAGCCCGACGCCAGGGGCTCACGCCTGCAATCCTAACCCCTCAAGAGAATAAGATCTGATGGTCAGAGTCCAGGATGGCCTAGGGAGGAAAAGCCAGTTAGCTAGCAAAAAGCCGAAATGGCTCAAGTGATAGAGCGAAAGAACCTGAGGGGCAGTGCCCAGCCCCAGAGTTCAAACCCCAGTACCAACACACACACACACACACAACCGTACGAACACTCTGAGTACCTGAGGATGCTGTACTATAGCACCCCCGCCTCAACCACTGTGGATCATTAGAAACCAGAATCCATAAAAGAATAGCTTCTGCGTCTGCATCAGCGCTAGTTCGGCTGGAAAACTCACGAGATAAACAAGTTTAGAATGTGACCAGAGAAGGCACGGAGAACGGTTTGCTTGCACGGGGAGATACTACTTAAGATTGTGATGGGGAAACGTGTTGCACCGTCCTCTCCTGATGCTTTGAAAATAAGTAATAATAACAAGAACAACAGCAACAGTAATGAAACTGTGTGACCAGCTGAGGTGAACGTGAGTCTCTTCAAAGTTCTGACCTCTCTTTGCAAACGCTTAAGGACAAATGCTCAAATCAGGGCACCTGACACGGGGAGGTTCTCCCTATAGCATACCCCGGAAGGTCATCTCTTTGTCCAAGAAACTGTCCCCCGCCGCTGGCCTCAGTGGATGGGGACAGTGTCATTCGCCCTACCAGAAAGGGAAGGGAAGGGGGGGGGGGGGGGATCAAAGCCAGCCGCACTTCCTGCCGGTCCCGGAGCGGCTCCGAGCCAGACTGAGGGGCTCCAGCTGCGGCTCCCGAGCAGCCCCAGGCCCCGCTGGCCTCGGCACCCGCCAGCCGCGCCGCGGCGGGGCCGAGCCGTCCGCATCCCCACCCCGGCCCGCCGGGGCCCCCGCCGGGGCCCGCGTCCCCGGGCCCGCCCCGGCCGGGCCCGCCCCGCTATCTCCTCCCCGTTATCCGCTGGCCGCCGCCGCCGCCGCCGCCGCCGCCGCCGCCGCCGCCGCCGCGCTCGGGCCTGGCTTCGCCTCCCCACCCTCCCCAAGTTCCGCTCGGCCCACTCCTTCCCTCCCCTTCCCCCCCCACACACCCACCCACGAAGGCGAGGCTAGGGGAGAGAGGCCCCCCGGCGGGCCGGGGTGGCGGGAGGCGCCGGGAGCCGTCCCTCACCTCTGGATGAAGAAGGGGCACGCAGCCCGCCTCGGTATCGTACTCATCCGGGCCGTCCGCCATCTTGGTGTTAAATCCCTCCTCCCGCTGCATGCCGGGAGAAAGCGTTTCACCCTCGCGGGGCTCCGGCGAGGCGGAGGGCGAGCGTGAGGGTGAGCGCGAGCCCCGCCGGAGGCGACGCGGCCTCCCTCAGCCCCCGTGACGCCCCCCCTCCCCCCTCACTCCCAGTCGGCTTCTCGGGAGGACGCACGCGCGCCCCTGTGCGCGTGCGCGCCGAGCTCGGGCCGGCCCCGGCCGGGAGCGCGCTCTGCTGCACTGCGCCGAGGCGGCGGCCCCGGGGCGCGGCGGGTCGGGGGCGGGGTCCGGGCCTCGGGGCTGACGGGCGCCTGCGGCCATCCAGGGAAAGCTGCGCGGGCTGATAACATCGCTATGGAAATCCGGCGGCGGCGGGAGAGCGCAGACCGAGCCCCGGGGCCTCGGCCAACCGTGCTCTCCGCGGTCCTCTCCGGGGACCCCCGCGTCCAGGATCCAGGCGACCCCGCACCTGGGGACCGGGACCAGCGTGCGTCCCTCCTTCGGACGGAGAAGCATCGGTTGTCCCCACCCTGGAAAAGGTCGCTTGGAAGCATCGTTGTACCATCTTGAACGGGCAGCACACTGACCTTGGCCAGTTTGCCCAGCTGCCTTTCAAGAATAAAAGCTGGGGGTTTTCAAGGATAAAGAAAAAGATCAGCCTCCCCACCTTGCCGGGACGGGGCGGGGGGGGGGGGGAGGAAGACGAGGATGAAATGGGGGGGCTTCCTCCAGAAAGGCTTTGGCACATGATCCGCCCTCCTTCCAGCTTGTATTACTAGCACGTAAAACACTTGCAAGGCCGCGCGTCCCACCGGCTGCATTTTAGTGCAACCTGGAATTCAGAGCTCAAGTCGTTTTGAACGGCATTCACTTAAGTGTGACCCAGATAACATGACTCGAGTCATTTTTTTCCCCCCTCAAATGATCTTATGTGGGCTGTGGGATGGAGAGGAAGAGATTGCTTCCTAGAAATGGGCTGTGAAATAATTTTAGGAAGCATCTCTTGTTTTTAGCGTTAAAAACGGTAACTCTGAACAGCTCAGAGGTAGTTTAGTAACGGCCATGAAATGATGAGTTAAGAAAGATCTGTTCTGCCTTCTATCAGAGACCCGCTGGAGGAAGCCTGAAGCCCAACCAAACTTGTAAATCGGGGAGGGGAAGGGGGGAAGCAAAGGTTAACACAGGAAGAGAAGCACAGACCTCTTTGTGAGGTTTAAAGGGGTCTAGGGAGAGAGTTGCTCTGGTTAACTTGGACTTGGGCGAAATTTCGATTATCTAATAATGGGGTATATAAAGTAATCAGTGAAACTAGCTAAATAGACTAGAGGCCTCATTGGTAAAAGAGTAGCAATCACTGAGGGAGAAATGTATATGGCATTCTTCAGCTGCTTCACAATGGTGGTAGCAAAGAGAAGATTCTGGCTTCATTTGTGTGGATCCTCCCAACACAAGTGCTTTTTCTCCTTTTGATCTTCATTCCTTTGGTCCTGCCTGGAACCGTGCGAAACATAACAATTAGAATTTCACCTTTGGTACATGAAACTGCTTTCAGACACATGATAACTTGGGCATACGTCGTTTTCATTACAAAATTTCAGTTATCTTGTTCCTCCTTACCCTTAGGCCATGCTTCCTACAAATACAGAAAAGAAGGAAGAAAGAATGGAAATAGAGATTGCAGCATAGAGATAGTACTGAAAGAAGTAGAGTGAAGAAACTGGGTGTGGAGATGCAAGAGAAACGTGTATCCTAGGTGCCATGTATTAGGAACATTAGTGTGTTTTGTGGAGATAGCCATAAAATGAAAAATTTCAGCCTTACCAAGTTCACCTAGGGCCTGAATGGAAGGATTAAGCCAAATTCAACCAGAAGAAAAAAAGAAAGAGGGAGGGAGGGAGGGAGAGAAAGGAAAAGAAAGGGAGGGAAAGAAAAAGAAGGAAAGAAAGAAAAAGAGAGGGAGGGAAAGGAAAGAGAGGGAAGGAGGGAGGGAGAGAAAGAAAAAGAAAAGGAAGGAAGAAAGAAAAAGAAGAAAGAAAGGGAGAGGAAGGCAAGAAGGCAGGCAGGAAGGGAGGGAGGAAGGAAGGGAGGGAGGGAAAGGAAAGGGAGAGAGGGAGGGAAAGAGAAAGGAAGGAAGGAAGGAAGGAGGGAGGGAGGAGGAAGAAAGAGAAAGAAAGGGAGAGGAAGACAGGAAGGATGGAAAGAAGGATGGATGGATGGAAGGAAGGAAAACGGTCATTTTTAGCTTGGTGCTAGTAGTTCACACCTGTAATCCTAGCCACTCAGGAAGCTGAGATCTGAAGATCAAGTTTTAAAACAAGGCAGGAAAGTCCATGAAACTCTGATCTCCAATTAGTCACCAAAAAGCTGGAAAAAGAGCTGTGGCTCAAATGGTAGAGTGCTAGCCTTGAGCAAAAAAGCTCAGGGGACAGTGCTCAGGGCATGAATTCAAGCCACAGGGCTGACAAAAAAAAAAAATGTGTGTGTGTGAGAGAGATTTAGCCCACATGGTAATTTTTAAAAAGATATTTAATACCAAAATTCAATAAATCAGGCAATCTACATTTAAATCTAGATTTCTATTTTGTCTGGAAAATATGAGGAATACTTGGCCTTCTTCAACCTCTACTGGGCCTAAAACCAGTGGTCTTTATTCATTTTTGATACCTGGCTGGCTTCTGAAGACTTTTTACTTATGACCTTTTAGAACTGTATAATTTTAAACATAAAGCAAAAACAAAAAGTAGCTGAAAAGAAGATCAAACAAATCAGTTAGGGTCCATGTCTGCCTTGATCATACTGTAAAATAGAAACAGTTACTGAATGAAAAACTGGAGTGGGGGGAGAGGAAGAACAGGAACAAAAGCAGATATGGTGGCATTTGCCTTTAATCCCAGCACTTGGGAGATAGAGACAGAGATTCAGGATTTCCAGGCCAGCTTGACCTTGTCTCAAAATCAAACTAATGCCGGGTGCCGGTGGCTCACACCTATAATTCTAGCTACTCAAGAGGCTGAGATCTGAGAATCACAGTTCAAAGCCAGCCCAGCAGGAAAGTGCGTTTGACCCTTATCTCCAATTAACCTCCAGAAAACCGGAAGTGGTGCTATGGCTGAAGTGGTAAAGTACTTGCCTTGAGCTGAAGCGCTCAGGGACAGAGAGGCCTAGATCCAGAGTCAAGCCCCATGATGGACCAAAAAAAAAAATAATAATAATTGTGACATGGGTTTAGAGACAGAGAAATATGGCATTGTTGCATAAATATGATTCAATAGGCAACTTCAGAGACTACTGAAGCCAAAGAGAGCCTTAGCAATCATCTAGGTCCAATTCTATTATTTTGCTTCTCTAGGAATAAATCAAATTTTGCCATGGTAGGAAGTGCTATTAGATTTAGTTCTTTGATTTTTAACCTTGACTCTGCCAAGTTTCAAGGCTTTGTAAATCCAAACAAATCAAACCCCAGAGCATCTGTAAGAGACAGGAAGATCATCTGAGAAATGATCCACTAAGCTTAAGACCCTGCTCTCATCTCAACTGAAACAGTGATTAATGAAAGCCCTTCTTATCTGCATAAGCACATTTTTTTCCTAGAGAGTCTACAGCTTTTATCAGATTTTTCCAAAAATATACACACCTAAATGTACAGCTAAATTTGTATAAATATTCGGGGATTCAGGAGCTCTTTTAGCATGTTTTATGGTCACCAAGTGATTGTGATAAGTTATAGCTTTGGTTAACTAATGTAGTTAACTTACAAAGGACTTTGGAAAGTTATCTAATTTAATTCTTAATCTAATTGAATTCTTGCTATCTTCAGATAAGATAATTCTCAGCAAATATAGAGTAGAAGCAAAACTATTGTAGGATAATACTGATTCTGGCTTTATAGCTAGCCTTATAGTGGCCTTGAACTAGGGTTTTTAGACCCCAGGCCCAAAGGCCAGGAGTCCCAGGTTAAGTCTGTCCACTCATCTCATATGCCAACTTAAGAAAACATGGTGGAGGGCAGAGAAAGCATATTTAAAACCTGGCTGCTATGGAAAAATAAAATTTCAGTACACCTTAAGGCATCTTTCATGGTATATACATTGATTGGCCTTAGGCTAAACAGGGAGAATAAGAGGCTGGGAGTATAGGGTTAAAACTATAAGTCACAGGTTTGACCTGATTGGCCATTGTCTTAGTCTTTGTTCCCAGAGGAATTCCAAAGAAGTATTATCACTTTATTACTGGAATATAACAGAAACAAGGTGTTTGGGGGCTGCTTTGCCAGGTTGAGGGGTAGTTGACCTTCCTTCCATACAAGATGCTGATCAGTGAATTGTCTCTTTCCTAGAACCCAAGGTGATTGCAAAGTTGACTTCAGCAGAGAAGAGTTCAAATCAAGAGCAGAAATACCAAGTTAGGGGACTTTTAGTTAATTTACATGACCCAGCAAAACAAAGTTGCCTCTTACAGTATGCTTCTTATCATTTCACCGATTTCTCAGTCTCAGTTTTGTCATCTGTAAAATAAAAGGCTTGAAATAACTGTTTTCTAAGGTTTCTTTCATCTCCATGATTCTAATAATAACAATATCATCTTAGACTGATAATAGTTTTCTTTTGAACTGCCATAATGAAAATTCCACACTTTCTGTAATCAACCTCTTCTCTGTTCTGATACAGTTTTTACTATTACATTGTTTTCCTGATTTTCATCCTAAACCCTCATTCTGTAGGTCTTGTTTTTCTTTCCATTTTTTTCTTTTCCTCCTCCTCATCTTAATATTCTACTTCTTTACGGTTAGGTTAAGTCTTACTAATTAAAACTAAAGAAGGGCTTAATTTCACATTGTGAATTATTAATGCAGATGGCAAATGAGCCAAGACACGGTATAACACCCAAAGGTAGCCCAATGGGTATTCTGTCTCTTAGAGAGATAAGAGGCCTAAACTGTTGTAGCTGCAGTATCTGGTATTCCTTGCTTTTCTATTCTAGATTATACCTTTCTAAGCTTCAACTCAGAGGAAAGGTGACATAGCTAATGGTACCACTCAAGAAGAATAAACATGAAATCATTTCTCTGAATATTCCATTCTAGGCATCAGCATTAAGTGGCCACAACCCAGAATCCTATTCAAATTAC